GAAACCCATGATTTCCTGACACACAGCAAGCTGGAGAAAGAAAGGAAAAACTCCATTAAAAACCTCCAGGCTCTCCTCCATGTTAGAAATGAAATGGAAAATGGAGTGGATTTAACAGGAATCCCTGATTCTTGCGGCCAAGCTGGAGGAAGGGAGACACGAATCAAAGCCGCAGGCTGCTGATATTTTTTAAGTCGCAATAAATACTGAGAACTCCGGGGCAGGATGAGGATTTCCTGACTCGAAAGAACAAGAAAGGACAGATCGCTTTTTTATTATATTCCTCTCTGTATATTTAATTTATTCACCTCGATGATTCTCTTGACTGATCTGGTAATTGTTAGAAGCGGCTGTGACAGCCTGGAAACATTAGTATGATTTCCTGAGTTTGAGATTTGCTGCTTCCCCCCCCCTCCCCACCGCTCCAAACTCAGGAAAAGTCAATACAATCGCACTTCATTTTTCCTTCATGTTCACTTGGAAGTCCTGGGAACAGCAAGAGCAGTGGCAGCAGCAGCAAGAATGAACGGCAAAGAAGAAGATGACAACTGCACTGATGGGAGCAGCAATAACACGAAGAAGATGTTAAAATGTGTGGTGGTTGGGGATGGTGCAGTTGGGAAAACCTGTTTGCTGATGAGTTACGCCAACGATGCCTTCCCAGAGGAGTATGTCCCCACTGTGTTTGACCACTATGCAGGTAAGAAAGTGCTTTAAAAGAAATTTAATTGAGACCTGTGGGAGAGCCAGGTGGGAGGTAAAGGAAGCTCAAGGAGAGGAGAGGATGGTTCAAAGGGGATGCATGGGTTACTTCTTGTCCGGGAATGTGATTCAGGCCTGGATGGCAGCCAGGCAGCTTATATGGCAGCTCATACAATTGGGGCAAAGCAGGATTTATTCAGAGAATTTATTTGTTTGCTTCCAATTTTTGTTTTGTTTTTGGCAAATAAGCAGTGTTAGGGATGCAATTAAATCCACTGGATTTTGGGGACAACAAATATAATTCAGCCTCCATTGATATGTATTCTCGCTTTGTTTTTTAAATTCTGAAGTTCTGAACTTTGCAGGCTACAGTTATGATGAAGACTACATATATATATACAAAAAAATATATGCTATCGGTGATCTTGTGCCTCATGGCAAATGATGCATAAATTACAATATTTATATCCTATTGAAGGAGTAATCTTTGAGAAAACCAGCATGGTCTCTTTCAGTGCTGTCAGAATATAACTCTCCTTTCAGAGACATTTGTTACTCTATCTATAAATACATTTTAATACTGTCACTTGATGGTAGGGAAAGCAGAAGTGGTGATTGGCTTGAGTACTTTATAGTGAGGAGACGTGTAGTATAAGAAAAAAATATGAACATAATCAAGATCATCAACGATGTTCACTGCATCACTGTGCAAAACACCCACAGATTAGGTACAATATTCACAGTCCTCTTTCTGTAGTAATTACTTACTTTACCCAGCTGTGTCCAAAGTTATCATGCAGATGATGTGATAAGCTAAAACTGTTGCTCAAACTTCTGCTTAAATTTTCCTATCCCAAATTCTGCTGGTTTTCTTCTCTCACTGCTCCTTTGGCTTACGACTGTTGTTGTTTATGAGCTCGCTGAAAAACAGATTCTAGAAGCACTGCAAAACTCATTGCTTATCTTTCAGCAGCAGTTGGAGTTTCCCTCATTCTCTCCCCACCTCCTTAAAAACAGAATTTTCATGGCGTGGCTTATCATAGATTTGGTATTCTGTAATGGGAAAATCTCTGTTTTCATTCTGGCTTCGTGTCAGGCTTAGCAGATGAACTGGCCAAACAAGAAAGCTGTGTAATTGCAGAATCTGATCCATGGAAATGTGAAGACCTTTTCCTCCACAAGAGTGGGCAGCGTCACTTCTAATGCAAGCAATGCTCTCTTTCCTCTACCCTTCCCACTAGATAGATTAAATGACGATTTTAGAAAAAAAAATCTTTACCCAGACAAGATATAAGAATATTGCATGGTGTAAATACGTATTTCCATGAGCCCAAAGCCCTAAGGAAATCTGGCAACATGAATTTCTGTCTTATATTGCAACAGCACCCACTTTCCCATGATAAACCAAGATCTGCTTGTCCAGTACAGCCTTACTCCCCAGCAACGTGCCAGTCCCAGCACCCACCGCCCTTTTCTCTCTCTCCCATGCCCTGCAAATACCTCTGCCTATGGAATAAGCCATACAATAACTGGTACCAGACCATATATGCATCAGCCTGTGGGCTGGGTTGTTCTGATGTGAGCACACGCGTGTGCACAGGGGCTGTGGACACACACACAGGTGCCAATGCCAGCCAGGCTGCGCTCAGGGCAGGCACCACGCTGAGTGTCTCTTCCCTACCCAGGTGACTTGCAGGGACTTGCTTTGATTTTGTTTCCTCTCTGTCAGAAGTGGTAGAAATTGCCAGTGGGCTCAAAAGTTACTGAGGGAGAGGGGGGCTCAGAGAAGGGTGGGAAGATGAAGAGTGTAGCTGCATAATCATTATTTCCTTGGGGTGCCAGGTAAGAGCAGTATGCATGCACTTTTAAATCAAGCTACATTTTCAAGATTTGAAGATTTAGACCTCTCAAATACCTCCAGCTATTCTTATTTTCCTTCTTAACTGTTATAGCACATAAATATAAACTAAGAATGTTTTCAATGAGAAAGTTCAGAAAGATAAGGGAAAAAATAACTCTGTATATTAACATGCTATTCTGAGACAAATCAGTGGCAGTGGTCAAAACTAGCTTTGAACAAAAATGGAATTTCAGTTTTTTGGAAATCCCATCATTTATTAAACTAATTTACCTACAAAACTGCACACAGAATTGAGCAGTGGAAATGACTCCTGGAGCAGAGTGCTGGAAAAAATCTCACTCTTAAAACATAAAAATATTACCTGGCATAAAGTATAACATAACCTATTTAAAATACTGTGGGTATTGAGAGAGAAAAGACCTCACTTGGGGCAACTTTACCCTTGGGCTCACAGCCTTTAGGATATCCTGACAGCCCCTTCCACATCTATCTGCATGGCACCCCATGGTCGAGAGGATTGGTGGCACAGCAGTACGATGGGCACAGCAGTTCCATGGCCATGGTGGTACCATGGGCACCACAACACACAGGAAGGCTTCATGTGCAGACGGATCCTGCAGGATGGTTGAGGCTCTGGAAAATCACATTCGAATTTACCCCAGGGAACTGGTTTTTTTGCCCCTGCCCTTGCTATAGTGAAAACCAACTGTTTCAAATTTCCTAAACAAGCTGAAGCCATTCGATTCAGTTCTCCTGTGCTAGAAATGCTCAAAAGCAATTAATTGCTGCAGATTTTTGCAAAGCTGCACTTTCAACAGAAGGTTTTTCACCCAGAAGTGGTGTGTTAGCAAGCGCTTCCTCTTGGCTCACTGGGTTACAACCTGGTTGTGAGTCCCAGGGTATTTACCAATTTCCTTCTTTCTAATGGAAAAAGGGAGGGGGGAGAAGCATTAAAAATCAAGGCTTCCAGTGGTGATCTCAGAGCAGTTTCTCACTGCCGGGACTCCAGTGACTCGGAGAGACAGTGATGTTATCCAGCCCAGCATTGGGAAAAGCTCCAGATGCACCACTGCTGTGGCCAAGGCGTTAACTGTTCACGGCCCCGCAGCACCAGCTATGTTTATTTGCCCTGATGCATTGCACACCTGGTACAGGTTTCAAAGGCACAGGTGAAACTGGTGAACATACTGACAAGGGCAGCCCATAGGAAACAACCAGTATTTCAGAGGGCTGAGCTCCAACAGTATTAGATCTGTACAGTACTTATTTGCAGAATCATAGAATCATTAGGGTTGGAAAAGACCTCTAAGATCATCCAGTCTAACCATCAACTCATCACCACCATGCCCACTAAAGCATACCCCTGAGGGCTGCATCTACTCATCTTTTAAACACCTCCAGGGATGGTGACTCCACCACTTCCCTAGGCAGCCTGTTCCAATGTCTGACCACTCTTTAGGAGAAGAATTTTTTCCTAATATCCAACCTGAACCTCCCCTGGCACAACTTGAGGCCATTTCCTCTCATCATATCACTGGTTACCTGGGAAAAAAGACCAACCCCCACCACACTACACCCTCATTTCAGGTAGTTGTAGAGAGTGATAATGTCTCCTCTGAGCCTCCTCCAGACCAAACAATCCCAGTTCCCTCAGCCCCTCCTCATAAGACCTGAGCTCCAGATCCTTCCCCAGCTTTGTTACCCTTCTTTGGACACACTCCAGGGCTCCATTCAGTGCCTTTCACAAGAAATGGCTTGAATCTGCTTTTAAAATTTGAGCCTATCCTGCCTCTAAGAAAATCAAAGGCAGGACATGGATTGCACCCTGGGAAGGACAGGCTTCCTGCAGATATCTCGCACAGCATTTACAACTCAGCTACAGCAGTGCCTGGGACGAAAGGCTGTTGGTGTTTCACCATGTACGCAGCTGCACTGTATAAAAGTCCAAACCAGTTATTAGTTCTCCACTAGCAATATTTTGCCACAGATTACACCCATAGTCCACAAAAATGAATTTGTTCATGGCCTGTTGCCAGGGCTGGGATGTGATGGATGTAGAGTAGGGTCAGAGGCAATGCCAGACAGATGGGGAAGGCAAATTTGTTATTTGGATATGAATCTGTGTTATTTTGTTGAATGCATGGAAGTTTATGTTTGGTTATTTCTCAAGGCATTTTGAAGAGATTTTTCTGGAAGCTAGAGCCCTGAGTTGGTCTCCTTAACTTTGGTGAAATTCCAAGTCCCACACTGAAAGGGTTTAGCCACGAGGTAAGTGGCTATTTCTAGGGCAGGCAAACCAAAGTGCTATCCCAGTGACAAACAGGATATTACTGGAAATAACTGTAACAATAGGGACTGTTTGGATAGTGAGTAGATGCTTTAACATGCTGGTTCCATTCCATCTTTTGAACATCAAATGCTGATTTTCCGTGAGCAAAGGTCTCTCAGCCAGGGTGACTTGTATTGTATCTAGCTATGTGAGGTTATAAATGTTTAATTAGGGATGAGGTTGTACCAGCAAAAAATGCAATTCAGCTACTAGTGAAGTTGGTTTAATGGTACCAAATTAGCTGGCTTGCTCCATGGAAGACATAAGGGAGTTGTGTATTTTTTTGTTACTTAGGCAACCACAGAGCATTCTGCTTGATATTCATGAACCCTAAAAAACTAGCAATTTTTAGCATGAAATTTATTCACCCCAAAATTTATATTCAGGCTTCCTAGAGAGGTGATCAATACCCCAAGCCTGTCAGTATTTAAGAGGCATTTGGACAATGCCCTTAATAATATACTTTAACTTTTGGTTAACCCTGAAGTGGCCAGGTGGTTGGACTAGGTGATCATTGTAGGTCCTTTCCAACTAGAACTATTCTATTCTATTCTATTCTATTCTATTCTATTCTATTCTATTCTATTCTATTCTATTCTATGTGCAATTTTTTGATGAAAAAAACCTCAATGATTGAAGAGCAGTACCAATACCATATGGCTAACTTAGCCCACTGTGCAGACAAATGTGAATGGACTCAATAGATGGTTGAAGCCTAAGAAGAAGAGGGTAGTGAGTCTTAAACTGTCTTGTTTAGGCATAGCATACAGGTGAATGCCATAGAAATAGCTTTAGGAGCCCAAGTTTC